AGTCAATGAATATTGGGTACTTAAAGTCTTACTGTCTGATTTGCATGCCCCAATGTTTGCATGTAGGAAGCATAGCTATTGGTCACCTTTAATTAGGTACCCAAAAACTTAATGGCAAAGTAGTCAACGTAGCCATATAAAATGTGTTCCAATATATGAAGAGGGGATCCTTCCATCCAGAAAACATATCGGATGCACTTCAAGTTAAATCTTTAAATGCATGAATTATCATGAAATGCTGTGAGACAGGGCATAATTATATGCCCTGAGTTTGTCATCAGTCTATCTGTGTTCTTGAGGATACTGGTTTTTAAGGCTTTTCTTTCAAGATACAGCCCTGTGTTGTAATGAATGTGTGCTAGCTGATCCCCAAAGCTGTTTATATATATATATTTTTTTAACTTGTAGCAGTGTCAGAGATGAACTTCTGCTGGAACTTTTTTGCGGTGTTTGTTTTGTAGTCTTCATTATTTCAGGTTAGGCACACACAATTCGTTATGTATCCAGAGTCTGCACTCGCTCGTTTGTGTTCCATATTTTGTAATCCGTTACCCATGATTGCTAATTTTCATGACAATTGTTATTGTACCATCAGTGCTTAGTGGCAAGGCATCATTATTCAGTGCTGGTCAATCAGGCAGTAAGGCATGTGGAAGACATCAGGCTGAACCCATATAGATTTCATGCACTCCCCTGCTAATGAATCCCGTTTTATAAAAAGGTTTAAACACAGTTGGCATCCTTCATGTAAGGTTTGCAATAGCTTATTTTGGAGCTGCTTTGTGTTTATACAGAGCGGATCTAAATATGTCACAGAGTTAGAGCTATTGTGTGTGTGTTTGTGTAGCTATACAGAAGAGAGAATTTTTTTAAATGTATAAAGCAATACAATTTGTGTCATGGTGGGACCATGGTGTACTGATGTGCAGAAGGCGGCAGTGTTTGGAAATGGATGGTAGGGCTTGTTCGCCAGACCAGCGGATATTGGGTGCATCTCAGAGGTGATCCTCTCGACCTCTAGGATGGAAAGCTGACTATGTCGTTCATCAACTCACAGAACAAAGTTGGCATTGGCTCCAAAGGGAACCTCTAGGAGGCTTTTCGCTCAGAGGTTAGGCGTTGTGACCAAACACAGGGGAAAGGTCAGGCCTTTCAAAACAGAGGAGTGGGAAACTTGGCAGAAGTGGGCGCACTGTAAGTGTAAATATTTTAGCTTGGTTTGTTCAGCATGAGGTTCCTACCTTCCTGTAAACATCCCCCAGCAATTTACTGTCCCATTAAACTGTAGCTGATAATTTCTCTGTCATTTCAAACCCAAATGTTTGGAACTGGTCCCACTTCCACTTGATGGGACGTTTGTTGAACAAAAAGTAGAATCATTGCACGTACCACGTGTTCTTATAGTTTCAAATATGAATGAAACCACAGAAGTTAGCTCTTAACTCACTCAAATATGCAGATCTATAGCAATGAATTCAGCCCATGAGCTACATCAAGTAAATGGTTAATTCATCGAGTATAACAGCACTGTGATTCATAATGTAAACTTGAGGAATCCTTGATGTTTCAATCACACATTCCTCTTAATTTGGCCATGCATTCTTTTAAAACTACAGTGCGCTTACTTAATAAAATGCAGCATGCAAATGCACAAGTTTTTGCCTTCAGGCATTTTAGGCATGGATGTTTCAGTGGGTGTCTTCTTTCAAGTGTATATTCTTTCTTAAATTATTTACCCTGTAAACATGCTTTGCATTTTCAAAGGCGGCTCTGGGCTCCTCATTCAGTAGATTTAGTTGCGTGTAAGGTAATAGAGATAAAAGTTAGCATATCAATTTTGCCATGCTAATTTATTAGCCTTTTGGCTTTTTGGCAGCAGATGTTGAGCCCCATTTTTCCCCCTTTGGTAGTATTGTTCCCTCCCCCACCTTAAATTCCTTGCTGTGTTGCCTACAGCAATACCCACTGGCAGTGTCTGGCTGTGACAGTACAGTAGGCTCCTCTACAGATGGGTCCTGCCAATGCCAACCATTGTTCTACCACTGTGAGCTGGCATGACTACGTGGTATCACTCAAACCCCCCTTTCCACTTGATTTTTTCTTTACTCTGAAGGACTGCCCTTGCTTATTGACTCTGAAACGTGCTGACACCCAGACGTTGTGTTCTCAGTCTGAGCCACAGTGACCGGATCCAGACTTCAGCATGTTCCCTGTTCTCTAACCCCTCCACAATGTTGTCCTGTTGCTGCAACACCTCTTCATCCATTTTCTGTGCAGCCCTGTCCTCCTGGTACTCTGCATTTGGTTGAATTTTGTTTGTGCATTTGAAAGTAAAACAGTCGAACCCAGCATTTAAAAAAATATATATAAAATGACTCTTTAACTGTAGACTTGGCTAGTAAAACTATATAATGCTTCAGTGGAGGAGTCTTTTGATAACATCCATCCTATTTGATGATTAAATTGTTCCTCTTAACATTTTTTTTTTTTTTTTGCTGCACTGAGCAGAGTAATTCAGATTCCTAAAAATTGAACTTTGATATGTATTTCCTAGACTCACACTTAAACTGAACCTTTAATTATCAGATAGATACAGGTGGCTGCATGTATAGCTCAGTGTCCTTGTGAGGAGGATTTTAGAGACACGGGTTCAGATTAAGTAATCTTGCAATCAGGTGTGCAGCTGGAGAATCAGAAATAAGACTTTGGGAAGGATCATTTTATTTATTTATTTATCTCAGCCTGAAATGATGAAACAAAATTAATTAGGCCAGATACAAGTAGATGATTTAAGCATTCAGTATGTTATGTATGCATTTGCCTAACTATGCGTTAGATTAAGCAAGTTTCACCCACAGTTAATCCTTTGTAAATTAGCATTATGGATGCCTTGGAGCCCTCATCCCACAAATAAAATGGTTGTCAACCCAGCTGTACTGTATATTACTTAAGGCAGAATTTTTTAAGAGTTTTCATGCTTTTAATCTATTTCACTGCTGAGTTTCAATTTTGCTGAGTTTCTTTTCAGGACTGATGAGGGTGACTGAGTAAATACATATTCTGGTTTTCATGCATCCACTTGGGCAAATCGTTTGTTATCAGGTGTTTTGGAGAGAATGTCACACCGCCATAAAGGGAAGCTGTGCGTTCAGGTGTTACATTGAACTGCAAACCAAGGAGAACCTTAATTAGCTTTATTTTGTTAGACTGTTACATGTTTTTTTAAGAGTGAGAATCCCCCCTCTCCCCTGCCCCACTATCCCTTTGGCAGAGTAAATATTGCCTGTTAAGTTTGAATTAGCTGTCATTGCAAAAGAATTAATGCTGTGTTTGAGCCTTTCTAGTGAGGAAGGGAAAAATAAACAAGACAGATCTTCGTTCAGCTTTAAGTGATAAATGAGGACAAAGCAGGCCATTCATCTCCTGCTAGGAAAGTGGACACAAGCAGTAAAGCAGTTTTGCGGAAGATGTGTCAGCAAATGTGATCATTTTGTAACCTGTCAGGAGGATAGAGAGCTAGTCCTTTTAGAGTGTCACAGGGGAGTGTGTTTGTCTGATGTGACAGTTTTCATCCATCCATTTGCTTTTTTTTTTTTAAAGTGGGGGTGAGTAAGGAGGGAGCTGAAGTTGATTAAACTTGCATCCTTATATATTTATACATTTCAGTACATACTCTATGTATATCCACTCAGGCTCAAACAAAAACCATTTAGCAAGGAAAACTCCCCTCTACTCTCTGGACTCTCCTCTTACCTATCACATTTTTACTTTAACAAACTGCATTGCCACCCCCTTTGAAATTTGGGCACCAAAGTGAGTTTAACATATCGCAAAGCATGCTGTACCTCTTCTTAGTGCATGTTTCTTCTTTGGCTGGCTGGACATTTATTTTCCTTTTGCAGTTGTTGACCCAGCAAAAGAAACTAAAATGAACAGGGTGGTTGGGGTTTTTCCTCCTTCACTATTTATAGCCCATTCAGATGATGTGTTACATCCAAGTATGTTTTGCAAAAGTTCCTGCTGTGTGAGGGGCTTCTGGAAATATTGTGCTTCCGTAGAAAGGGGAAACAATATTGTGAAATATTTAAAATCCAAGCCTTATGCCAGATGGATCCAAATTATAGTCTCCATTGTTAAATTTACAAATATATGTATATTTGTGTGTATTATATATATATAAAATTGAGCACTTAATTTCAAGTAGAATCTAAAATGATGCAATTTCTGTTTTTACAAGAGGGGTTGTTCCCAACAAATGTTTGAATGATATTAGGTGTTTGTTCTTCTGGCATCTTTTTTATTATTACTGATTTCCATCTTTTTACTACACGGTAAATGTAACATTTGCCTATTACCGTAAGTGAATGTATGCTACAGAGACAGATGAGGCTTTTATAACATAAGCTTCACAGTTTGACACTTGCTTCTTTATATCATCCTTTTCTTCAAAACTATCTTTTATTCTTCTCCCTTGGTATTTTGGTACAAATAAGTACCTCACTGACATATGTTTCCTTGGAATCTTGTACCTTAATGGCAAAATCCCCTGAAAATAAGCAAATTGTTCAGGAAACGAGAGAGAGAGAGAGAGAGAGAGAGAGAGAAACATCGCAAAGGTTACATATTGGTTTAAGAGTCATTAGTGTATTTTTTATTACAGACCACCCTGCCCTGCTTGGATTATATCACGATTTATTATTTAATTGTTTAAACAAGTTAAAAGTGAATTGTAACATGCTGTGTGATCAAATTATTAATTTGTTTAGATTAAGAACTGGTTCTAACAGCTGCATCAGGAAATACTTAGAAACATTAGAACTTGAGAGGGAAAAATAAAAGCATTCCAGAATATGCAGTAGTCTTTATAGGTGCTTCGCTGAAGTTGTGGGCAAATGTTTTATCTCCAAGATACGTGATTGAGGTAGGTCCACCTTTTTATTGTTTTACAAATATTCTTTCGTTTTACTGTATTTTTTCTTTTTCTTTTCTGTTTTTTTCAGGATCATCCAAAACCGGATTTTGATAGTTATCTTGGCAATCATCATCTTCTTCACCATCCTGATGGCTATTTATTTTTCTGTCAAGAGACACTGATATCTTGGTTCTTCACTAAACAGCAACAAACTGCTTGTTCTGAGTAATTAAGACAAAGTGGTCACATGAATCACTCTCGCACTGACAGAATCTCCCTGTCTTTGCCGCTGTTCAACTCAGGTGCAAGTAGTGTAAAAATATCTTGTATTATTGATTGCATGTGGATTCATTTTTTCCCTTGTTTTTTTCCTTAAAATGAATGTTTTTGGAATCTTCGTATATGGGTTTTAATATAAAAATCATAACTAAGCAGAATTAATGTGTGTCAAATTTCACACCAGGTGATTCATTTGTAAGTTGCAAGAGTTTGGGGCCGGGGGAAGTGTCTCCGCACTTTTCTTTTCTTGTCTTGTGTTGGGTATATAAATATCTAGCAGTATCTGATCTTCTGTGACATCAAAGAATATGAGTAAAGCAGAAACCAAATGATGTAGAAAGTGAAGCTGTCCCATGTGAGCCATTCCTGTTCATAAGTGTCCATAATAAATGTTAAATAGTTAATTTTAAAAAAGACATCACCTCATGTCAGAGGGTGTTTAATACCTGATGTGAACCTACTACTATATCTGACACAATTTTGCACATCAACTTTCTTTACTATTAGAAACATTTCCATTTGCACCAAGACCCAACTATGATATGTGCATTACTTGCCCAATGTTTAATAGTGACCATGGCACATAGTATTGAATCAGCTTTGCATTGTTCCAATGCTAAGATATATTCTGGTAAAAAAACAACCAGTAGTCTATTTTAAAGATGTGTAAAAATACTTATCTGTTATTTTCCAGCTGCAAAGAGAACCTAGATCAATATTTCAGTAACAAATACAATAGGATTACATTAAATGCAAACAGAATTAAGGATTTTAAGTATGGGTATGAAAATGAGTTCATGTGCAGAAAACAGTTTTAATGAATTGAATTCAAACTTATCACTGACTTTTTAAATAGAAAGTGTGAAAATGTTAATTTATACTAACAAATGTTGTTCACTGATATATGGTATAAAAGCTTCATCTAATAGGAGATTAGTGTGTAAATGGGATGTGTGTTTCCATCCTGTTGGCTTTGTCTCTTTGGCAGAGGCATCTAGTTCCTTTTGTTTATAAACATGTTCATAGCTCTAGCAAAGGTAGTTTTCTGGTTATGCAGTAAAAGATTGTGCATGATCACGTTTTAACTCATTATATGTAATCCATTACAAATTTTATGAATCTAGAGAGTTTGTGAGCCCTTGAACCTAAGCCATAAAATATTTTAGGAGGAGATTTTCAAAGGAACAAAGGGCAGTTTAGGTACCCAACCCCTTTGGAAGTTAATGGGAGTAGAGCTCTTAACTTCCTTTTGTGCCTTTGGAAACTCAGAGATTCTGCCTTTGGACATATCTGTGAAGACACCGTTGATTCCCATGTTATCCCTGCTCAAACAGCTGAGAGCAGAATTTGGCCCGAAACATGTTGACTGTCTTTTCTACATAGAAACAAATAACTTGGTTGAAACACCCTTGATTTTACCAACATAAATAAGCCTGTCAAAGCACAGTAACAATATGAACAATGGAAAGATTTACCAGAGAAATAGTACTTATTGAAACCGGTTAGGGCATGCATGTAGTCCGATAAATCATTTAGTGCTGTGTGAGGAGAACTTCAGCCTTTATCTTCTAGTAATGGTGTGAAACTAAGTTCATGTGACATGGGACATGGACAGGGGGTGAAGGGGAAAACTGGCCATCATTAATGGGTATTTATTCAAGGAGGTGGGAGGTGCATATTTCCATAAATCTTTTATCTGAATGACAAACTACTGTAAATCTAAAACAAACAAGAAGCAAATATTAAACTCCTTCCACTTACTGGACATTCCTGGTATTGATGAAGTGAGCTGTAGCCCACGAAAGCTTATGCTCAAATAAATTTGTTAGTGTCTAAGGTGCCACAAGTCCTCCTATTCTTTTTGCGGATACAGACTAACATGGCTGCTCCTCTGACATCTGGTATTGTTTCAGTGATTATTGTGGGGGGAATCTGTTCAAAGCTACTTAAATGAGGCCTGCGACTGGGCTGCGCACTCCACTTAGGCACCTGCTGGTATCACCAAAAATGCTCAGTGGTAATTGGATCCCACAGCCTCAGTATAAATTTGGAGTTTGGGATCTCATCAGTTATCCCCATTGGGAAAGGAACAAGGGACAAAGAAAATACCAGACTAG